CCCCGCCAGCACCGCCAGATGGCAGTGTGTGCGAGGCGTGTCAGAGGCGGACGTTGGCCAGTGCGACGGGTACTGAGTGTAGTTGGGCAGAATCGTGCAGAGCTGCTCACGAACAGCTGGGTGCAGCTGCGTTTGGGCGATCGAGGCTACGATCTGGTGGCCCGTGATGCCCCACGCCAAGCTAGAGGGCACGAGGCAGAGAGCCGCGCTGATGAGAGCGGGGAGGAGTGCGAGCCTCATGTTGGCGACCTAGAGCTGGAAGTCGTTATGGATTGTGGTGGTGGTTCTGACCAGCATCGACGTTGGGCACGCCACCTGGGGTGAGGCGCACGAGGCGGCGCTCGATAAGGCCGTGTGACTTCAGGGTCCAAGCGTGGCCCGGCTCACCGCGCTTCGGCTCAGCCGGGCTGCATTTGGGCTGTTGCGCCTGAGAGAGCGCGTTTGCGGAGTTGCTGTCAGAATGTGGAGGCTCTCCTCCAAAAAACTACTCGAAGCAGCTTGCTCGGCCTGCAGTTGGCTGACTTCCAGCAACCAACAGCACACCTGCTCGCATCGGTCACCGAATCGAACAAAGACCGGCTCAGCTGGAGATGAGCGATCTCGACATTGACGATGCGTCGCTGCCGTCCGATGACGACGTCAGCTGTTCGCGGCCCGCCCTCGACAGCAGCAGCCGGCCAGCGTATGGAACGCTGTCTGTGCAGGCCGAGGACGAGCCCGTATCGGCCTCGCGAGTGCTACAAGACATACGCAATAGCGCTGGCAGATACCATCGCCTCTGTCTGCAGCACGCGGAGCTAGGCGATGCCAAAACCGCCAAGATATTTCAAGCGCTATTCGAGCACGGGCCGAGCCCGGGCGCAGCGAAACAGCCGAAGGACAGCAACGACAACGACTCTTCGACTGCAAGAGGATGCGTTGCCGCAGACAGGGCTTGGCGGCTCTCAAGCTCCCTTGATCTGCCGCAATGGAACGCGTTCCGCATCGTCGAGCTCGACAACAATGAGCTGACCTCGGCCAGCCTGCCTGCCATCTGTACGCTGCTGGAGCGCAATCCCATGCTTCATACGCTCAGCCTCAAGGGCAACGAGCTCGATGGGGACGCGGCCGCATACATTGCTCTTGCCCGCGTGCTGGCCGCATCGCCGCTGCGACGGCTCGGCCTGTCTTCGAATCCGATCTCGCACCGTGCGCTCGCGGCGTTCATGGATTCGCTTCCGCCAGCCGGCACCTCGCTCGAGTGCCTCGAGCTTTCCAACGTGCTTCCCGTCGAGGACGACGCCTCTGAGCCCGGAGAGGAGCGAATGGTCGCTGCCAAGGCCGTGGCGAGCTTCATCGCGGATGCCGCTCGCTGCCGAAGCGTCAAGACGCTTTTGCTGAACGGCAATGGATTCGGCAGTCGCGGCGTGCGGACCATCGTGGCCGCGCTCATCGGGTCCGCCTCGTCACTCGACTTGGCTGAAGATGACTCGGAGGCGACGACGGAAGATCCGTTCTACGAGACGGTGTTCCGCGCGCGGCTGCGGCGTCCAAATCGGTCGCTGGAAGTGGTCGAGCTCGCGGGCAACGTCGAGCGAGGCTGGCTGCCGCAAGATCCGCACGAGCAGCGCGAGCGTTTGGAAGCGGTACGCAAGAGGTATGCGCGCGTCGCGCACCATGAGATCGATGCCATCGTGGCGTTTCTGGACCTGCGTGCACGTAGGGCAAGGCTGAACGAGCCCGCACTGTCCGAGCAAGAGGCGCCGATGGAGATCGTGCGACATATGAAGGCGGTGGGCGTGCATCTCGATGAGTGGGCGCGCGACTTCGAGGAGGCTGCCGAAATCGGCGCAGGGCTCACGGTAGGCAATTGGCAGGCACTCAAACAGTCACGGCTCGAACAAAATGCTGTCGATGGACAGAGATGCAGGCAAGCAGCCACCGCCGTCTTGGCTGCGGCGAGGATTGTTGGATGCACTGCACAGCGTGCGCGCACCGTGCCCGACGGAGCTCAACAAGGCTTTCACAGGTTCCTCGACTTGCCGCCCGAGTTGCGCTTGATGGTTCTCAAAAAGCTCGACACACACAGCGTCATGTCGGCACGCCAATTCGCGTGCGCGATCAGCTTCGCATGCGAGAGGACCACCATCGGATACGGCGAGCTGCACTATGACTGGACACGCGCACGTGCTGCTTCCGACACTGCTTCGATCCG